GTTCCACATAGTACAACCAGAAGGACACATAACTAAAGATATGCAACTATGGGGGCCGGCTCTGTGGCTGAGTGGTTAAGTTCATGCACTCTGCTGCGGCGGCCCAGAGTTTGGATCCTGGGCGCAGACATGGCACCCTCGTCAGGCCACATTGAGGCGGCGACCCACATCCCACAACTAGAAGGACATGCAACTAAGATATACAACTATGTACAGGGGGCATTTGGGGAGATAAAGCAGAAAAAAAAAAAAAAGATTGGCAACAGTTGTTAGCCCAGGTGCCAAAAAAAAAAAAAAAGATATACAACTACGTACCAGGGGGTTTGGGGAGAAAAAGGAAAAAGTAAAATCTTAAAAAAAAAATTATGCCCTATAGGCACTTGAAAAGATGTTCACATCACTAATCATCAGGGAAATGCAAACCAAAACTACGCAAGCTATCACCTTACACCCATTAAAATGGCTATAATCACCAAGACAAAAAATAACAAGTGTTGGAGAGGATGTGGAGAGAAGGGAACCCTCATACACTGCAGGTGGGAATGCAAACTGGTGCAGCCACTATGGAAAACAGTATGGAGATTTCTCAAAAACTAAAATTGGAAATACCATGTGACCCAGCCATCCCACTACTGGGTATCTACCCAAACAACTTGTAATCAACAATCCAAAGAGACTTACCCACCCCTATGTTCACTGTGGCATTATTCACAATAGCAAGATGTGGAAGCAACCTGAGTGCCCACTGAGTGATGAACGGATAAAGAAGATGTGGTGTATATACATACATATATATATATATATAAAATGGAATACTACTCAGCTATTAAAAAAAGACAAAATCCTCCCATTCGCAACAACATAGATGGACCTTGAGGGTATTATGTTAAGTGAAATAAGCTAGACAGAGAAAGACAAACACTGTATGATTTCACTCACATGTGGAAGATAAACAAACACACAGACAAAGAGAACTGTCTAGTGGTTACCAGGAGGAATGGGGCTGGGGGCTGGGCGCAAAGGCTGAAGGGGCACCCTTATATGGTGACTGACAGATAATAATGTACAACTAAAAATTCCAAATGTTATAAACTATCATAACCTCAATTAGAAAGACTGGAAAAAATTATGCCCAACTCTCCTCCATATGTAAATCTATATGAAGCGATAGTAACTGGTAAAAATAAACAAGGAAGGCCAACACAGATCTTATTTTTCCCATGCTGTGGTGGGCAGGATAATGGCCCCCCAAAGATGTCCACATGCTAATCCCCAGACCCTGGGAATACGTTACGTTATATGACAAGGGGGAATTAAGGTTGCTAATCAGTTGACCTTGAGATGAGGTGCTCATTCTGGATTATCCACGGGCTCAGTGTGATCCCAAGGGTCCTCACGAAGGAAAGAAGGAAGGAGAGTCAGAGTCGAGAAGCTGTGATGACCAGAGGAGAGGTTGGAGCAATGCCGTTGTTGAGGACAGGACTGAAAGCCAGGAATGCAGTGGTCTCTGGAAGCTGGAAGGCAAGAAAACAGATTCTGCCCTAGAGCTGCCAGGAGGAACGCACGCAGCCTGCTGACACTTTGACTTTAGCTCCCTGACACTCTGACCTACGGAACTGGGAGATAATAAATTTGTGTTGTTTCAGGCCAATTCCTTGCAATAAATCTTTTAATATGTATCTCCTACTGGTCCTGCTTTTCTGATGAACCTTGACGGAGATACATGGTAACCACTTTGATTCCCTTTTAAAATACATGAATATCAAATTTGTTAAAAAGTTTTCATTGGTGCCCCTGTTTGGTTGACAACATCAGCATTTTCTAAGCTCTGGGAAAAGAGTGATGAATTCCACATCAAGTTTCCACATCTGTAAAACTGGGCCAATCAGAGCACCTTTAGGGTTATTATAAGGATTAAATAAATTGCTGAGCATAATTCGCTTGGAATAATGCCTGGTCCAGAGTAAGTGTTCAAGAAATGTCAGAAGGGATAAAAGACAGAAGAAAGACAGGGGAGAGACAAGCTCTTCTTTCAGGGAGCTTATATCCTCAGTGGGAAATGGGTGATAAACTTGGGGAGGGAAGAAGGGATAAAATATCCGACAGTGATAAGGGCCTCTGAGAAACTTACTCTTAAGACTTTAGACAAGGGGTTGACAGCCTGGGGGCCAAATCCAGCCTGTCGCCAGCTTTCATATGGCCCTTGAGCTAAGAATGGTTTCCACATTTTTATTCTGTGGGTTTTTTTAGTGAGAAAGATGGGTCCTGAGCTAACATCTGTTGCCAATTCTTCCTCCTTTTTGCTGAGAAAGACTGGCCCTGAGCTAACATCTGTGCCCATCTTCCTCTACTTTGTATATGGGACACCGCCACAGCATGGCTTGATGAGCGGTGTGGTGTGTAGGTCTGTGCCTGGGATCCAAACCTGCAGAGCACATGAATTTAACCACTATGCCATTGGGCCGGCCCCTGGTTTTCATATTTTTAAATGGTTGAAAAAAATCAAAAGAATATTTCGTGACATGTGAAAATGATAAGAAATTCAAATTTCAATAGCCACAAGTTTTACTGGAACACAGCCACGCCTACTTAAATCGTCTGCGGCTACCTTCCCACTGCAACGGCAGAGTTGAGTTGTTGCGACAGAAATCAGAAGACCCACAAAGCCTAAAATATTTACTGTCTGGCTCGTTACAGAAAAAGTTTGCCGACCCCTGCTGTAGACTGAGTGGTCAGGGAGGGCCCTCCTGACATTTAAGCCGAGACCTGAGCGGCAAGAGGAAGAGTGGGGGTAGGGGAGCTGGCAGAACAGAGAACAAAGGCAAGAGCTTTCTCTCCAATCCCGTAACAGCCTTCCACAGAGGGGCTCGGTCAAAACTGCGATGGTTCTGAGGGTGCTGTGGGGTCCCAGAGGTCCCGAGTGGAGGTAGGGAGCCAGAACTGCCTGGCACCAAAGTCTGCTGTGCCCTGCGGCAGCCCCTTCTCTGACTGACACCAGGTAGACGGGGCAGCTCTTGGTGCTTTCAGGCCTCTGCTTTGATCCTGACGAGCCCCCGCCTGCAGCCTGATGCATGGGGCCTACCCCCAGCCCGTGGGGCCCCACTCCAGCCAGGGAAGAAGAATGGCAGTCTTGAGCTATCAGTAACCAAGTGTGGCTCAGAGGGAACACACCTTTCGGTCCTTTCTGGGCTGGCTTATTCTTGCAAGGCTCCAGGCTAAGGGAGGAAAGCAGGCTGTTAGCTCCATTTCGGAGCCCGAGAAACGAAGGCAGTGGAGAGCAACAGGGGGTAAAGGTTAAAAACACAGACTCTGCACCTGAATTCCAGCCTCAATATTTGCCAGCTGTGTGACTTCAGGCCAGTGGCTTGACTTCCCTGTGCTTCAGTTCACAGATTATGATAGTATCTGCCTCAAGGAAATGTAAGGAATTAAAGAAACAATCTAAGTAATTAAGGAAACAATAACCTAGCACCCAGAGTCCAACCATCCTCACCATCTCCACGGTACCACCTTAATCCAAACTGCCATCAGCTCTTGCCTAGATTATTGCAGAGGCCTCCTCATTGGTTTGAGGGTGTCCATCCTTGCCCCCGCAACTCGCTCAACTCTCCACAAGCAGTCAATGGGGTCCTGCTGTCAGTCAGCTTATGGCACTCCTCTTGTTGAAACTCTTGTGTTTCTGGACACATCTAGAGTTAATTAACTTCCTTATTTATTCAATGGTCACTTATTATTGAGTACTCACTATGAGCCAGGTATTGTTCTAGGCACTGGAGATAGAACAAAAAGAAACAAAAACCTCTGAATTCAGGGAGTTTACATTCTCGTGAAGGGAGAAGGATAATAAGCCAATATATAAGACAGACATATAATATGTGAGGTGTTATGGAGAAAAATAACTCAGGGAAGAGAAGGGGGCTGGGATTTTAAACGGGGTGGTCAGGGAAGGCGTAGTGGACAAGGTAAGGGTTAAACAGAAAGTCCAAAAGTGGGAAAAGTGGGAGCCAGGGGGCAACCTAGAAGGGAAGTATTCTAGATGAAGGACTCAGCAAGGGCAGAGGAGGGCGTGTTCCCAGCGTGTTTCAGGCACAGGAAGGAAGCCACTGTGACCATAGCAGAAAGTGTGTAGGAGGGGGAAAGGGGATCGACCTCAGAAGGCTGAAAGCGGCAGGGTTGAGGCCTGTAGGTTTTCTAAGGTTTTTTCTCTGATTAAGATTGGAAGCCAGTGGAGGTTTTGAGCACAGGAGGGACTGGAGCTTTAGGATCCCCGGGGCCGCTGTGTGGAAGACCACAGGAACAAGGGCAGAGTCAGAGAGACGGTTTAGGCAGCTGTCCTGCCTGTTACGAGATGCCAAGGCCTGGACTAGGAAGAGAGGTGGCGTCAAACCCAAAGGTACCAAGAGGGTACCAGCCCTCCTGATGGGGTCTCTCCTACCCTTCCAAGCTTACCTTGGTCCTTCCTGTGTCCCCGGCCCCAGGGACCACTGCTAGTCACATACAGGCGTCTAGTGAGTATCTGTTGACAATGAACAGATGAACGAACGACCCATCCCTTGATCATCATCGCCTGTTTTAACGATAGCCGTCTAGTCAGAGCTCAGTAAATGTTTACAGACAGAATACTGAACAATTCTGCAAAGCCCAGCTGGTTAGTCCTCTTCACAACTGAGGAAAATTGAGGCCAGGCTGGGAAAGTGTCCCCCCGGGTCCCTCTGCACAGCCTAGGCTAGAAGCTTCCTTCTGTTTCAGGAGGGTGAAGTCCTGGACACTGGGCGGAGAGACCCGGCCTTCAGGGTGACTCACAGAGATCTCTCAGAAGCTTCCCCCAAAACCTCCCCGCCCTGCGGTGGGGAAACCCCAGAAGATCACAAGTCCCAAGACCCAGGCTGGACGCGAGTCCTCAAAACGCCAGAGGGTCCTCCCACGCGCCTCCTCCCACCCTCGGACCATAGAGACGAAGGGACAGAGGGGTCACTCTCGCGAGGCCGAGGCCCCGCCCCCCTGCTTGCCCGCCGCCCGCCTGCGCCTCCAGCGGAAGCCGGAAGCAAAAGCGGGGCCTGCTAGCCTCAAGCTCCGAACTCGGTGGTCTCGAAGGCTCCGCAGGATTGGGGAGAAGATGGCGGAAGAGGAGTGAGTGGGATTTTCCGGGGCGGAGGAGGCGGCAGGGCTAGGCCCGGCGGGTGACAGCGAGCGCCTCAGGCCGCCCTCCGGCCCCGGAAGGCGGAGCTCCTTGTGCCGGTTGGCCAGGACTGGCCATGCCGGCACTGCGAGGAGGGCGGGAGGGACGGGCCTGGGCCCAGCGGGGCCCTCAGCCTCCCCGAGGTCGTCCCCTCGGGCTGGGGATCAGCGCAGGCTTCGAAAGCCGTCTTGTGGAAACCGCAACCCAGATTTCACTTTCCTAGTTTTCGGTCGTCTGATGATTACGGAGCGCTCCGCCGCCTCCTCCAGAAAGTCCGTGCACCCCGCACCCAATTTAGCCAGTCGCCTCCTCCGCTATGACGATCAGTTTTCGCGTCTGTCTCCTGCAGGGAGTTTCATTCATTCCTTAACTGTTGGCCATCCACTCTAGTTCAGGGCCTGGGCACATAGTCGTGCAGCCGACCAGGAGCCGCCCTCAGGGAGCTTCCGTTCTAGTGGGGAAAGAGGACCATAAATAGGCAAGATGAAGGAATGGAATAGTGTTAGGGTGGGGGAGTCTGCTCAGGAAGAAGTGACTGCCAGCTGAGACTTCAGTGACCAGAAGGAGGGATAGGAGAGGGAACAGCAAGCGCAGAAGGCCAGAAGCAAGAAAGGGCTTAGTGCCTTTGAAGGACAGGAAGAAAGGCAGGATGGCTGGATTGTAGACGGCCATCTCCATACCTGCAGGGCACAGACTATTGGCTATTATAGATGCCTTGTCTGTGTTTGTGGGATGACTGTGCAAAAGTTAACAACGAACCCCATGGTTGAAATTTGACTCCTTCAGCTGAAAATTTTACAGTTGTGTCTCTTGGCCAGGTGTTCATTTCATTTAGTCCTCTTATTTATTGAGCATCTGCTCTGTCCCAGACACTGAACGGGCAGTCCCAGCACAAAGCAAAAGAGGTGGTGTGGCCCAGTGATTTCAAGTTTGGTCTCAAAGTTTGATTCTGCCACTGACTGAGATATTGGCCAAGTCATGCAGCCTCTCTGAGCCTCAGTTATTCATGGCTAGGAAAGGGAAAGTCATAGTACCCACTTAGGGCATGTTGTGCCTATTCAATGAAAGGGTGTATGTTACCTAGTATCTGGAATGAAGCAGTAGCCAATAAACATTAGCTGTTAGAATTGCAATGATTATTGTATTAATATTGCACCAGTTTGCAGCCCTGATAGGATGTGAGGAGACAGCTGTGAGGAACATAAATGATGAGGTGGAGGGGGGTGTTACAGAAGAGGTTACATTTGAGCCTTTTGAAATCTGAGAAGGATTTTGTAAGGTAGGGTGGAGCCTTCCAATCAGATCAAGAATTGGGCCAATTCAGGTGTCTTCTTCAACTTACAGATAATAATCTCAGGAAAAGAGTGTAACCTGGGGAAATAAAGGCACCAAGTAAATAACCTTGGACCTTGGAATGTGATGAGACTCCAGTTCACCTCCCTTTAAATCCCCCGTTAAGTGCCAAGGAGCAGGCAGCGTTTTGCTTCCACACCAGCGCTGACTCTGCCTTGTTCCTGTCCTCTAGGGGCCTGTGTTGAGAAGCACCTGAGGCCACCGGCACCCTCCTGTTGCAGCAGGCAGGAATTTTCTTAATCAGTTTCAAAAGCCTGCCTGTTGGTTGCGAGACTTGGGACTCTCGTAAACCTCTGTGCCAGGTTCTCTTGCTCATTTGTGTGTGTGTGTTGATAGGTCAGGGCCCTTTTCCCTTGATCTAATTCTGCTTTTTGTGTCCTCCAACAGGTTCCCCAATACAACTCATGAAGGTTTCAATGTCACCCTCCACACTACCCTGGTTGTCACTACGAGACTGGTGCTACCGACCCCTGCCAAGCCCATCCTCCCCGTGCAGACGGGGGAGCAGGCTCAGCAGGAGGAGCAGTCAAACGGCATGACCATCTTCTTCAGCCTCCTTGTCCTAGGTGAATGTGGAGACCCCGTAGTCGGCCATCCTGGGAGTCTGAGTCTGGGTGCACTGTCTGTGTGGTTAACCCCATTTAAACCACTCTTTGTCAGGTCTTCCTCCCATTTGGTTCTCACGTCAAACACTGAGGGACAACCATCAGTTCGTAACATCATAACAGTGTACTCCTTTTGCTTTATAAAATCATAGAGCTTAGCAATTCTGAAGTTCCCTTTATGTAATGTTTTAGACATCCGTTGGAAGAAAGAATTAAATAATTTTGACCTAGAAAGAAACGTAAATATCTTCTAGCGTAGTGAATTTCAAACTCTGCCCATGAGAGTCTGTGTGTGACTGTGTGTCTGCGTGTAGGTGGTGGCAGCAGTAGGTAGGGGGAGTCAATGGGAGGGCACCCAGCTTTCTGATCAGAGCAGCATTTTGCCTCATATCTATTAGATTTTCATGTAAACTTTTATGTAAAAGTTTTGCTGCTGAGTAAAAGATCAGATACCCTTGCCCTGGCATGCTCTTTTCCTTAACCTCTGTCCTTCCCACTAACCATAGTCATGACTTTTGCCACATCTGTGCACCACCTGTGCTGTTATTTATTTATGCAATATTTTTCTTTAAATGGATTCACTTGTCTCAAACTTAAAATCTCATTTTGTTCAACCTCCTCCTTTAACAGGTGAGGAAACTTAGGCCCAGAGAGGGTAAGCAATTGACATACCTGGTTTTGGGGACGCTAGAGGCTGATATTCAGGTTGCCAGACATTGGTCAAGAAATTTAGGTAAAAAGCAATAACTTAGATGCCTCCCAGAGACTACAGACAGTTGACAACTGTTTTAGACAAAGAAAACCCAGTTGAAACTGCAAGCCACTTTGGGTTAGCTAAGGAAGCAATAGCTTAGCATTTGACCCAAGTCCACAGTCTTAGTTGAAAGGTGAAGTTGGCACGTTTACATTTTCTGCTCTTTAATGATACGTGACATATTTCCAATTAGATCTTTTCAGAGGAGTGAAAGGTGCAGAGAGCGGGAGCTGAGGGAGGGGGAAAAAAAGGTGCGGAGTATTTCTCTGATGTCTGTTAGGACTGGTTTTTTTTTTTGAGGAAGAGTATAACTTCTTTCATATTTATATTCAGACTTTGTTAATGGTCAAATAATTTTAATAATAGAGTAATTTTATTTAAAATTCCTGGACTCATCCTTGTCTCTTATAGATTTTTAAAAACTGTAATACTGAAAAAGTACACAAACTACAAGTGTACGATTTCCCATATAGATTTCATATGCCCAGGTAATTTTTACACTGTAAATGTAGTTGAATTCTGTTTCTAAGAGATTACTTCAACAGTCAGGGACTCCTGTTTTGTTTTCATTTTCTTTTGTTAGAGTAGTTGAATACAAAGAAGAAAAGAAATTCTTTTCTTGATCAAGAAGTCTTTAGTACCTGGATTCTTAATCCTGAAAGGGTGTTATTAGTCTGTTTACATGTTGTCAGCTTGATATATTAGAGAATATAAAAGACAGGCCTGGACAAAACTTGTGTAATCACTTTTTTCACTGGAGGGTAAAAAGAATAAGTAAGACTTTCAAAGTAATTTTCAGGGTGTGGAATATTTAAGATTAGCCTATGCCAGAGACTACAAAACAGGTTTTTATAATCTAGGCAAAATCCTGCCCAGTGTTAATATGTCTTTGGGGCCAGAAAGGGCTGAACTGTAATTAATAGTGCTGTATATTTCTCTTGGATTGTCTTCTCTTCAAACAGATCATAAAGCTAGACTCTGGAGTCACACGAATGTCAGGTGGATTCTGTTTTCACCAAATCAGATCATTGGCGGTTTATGAGTCAGCATCTCCACTTTTTAAGTGTGGGTCAGCATACGTTAGCAGAATGGAATGCTTTCTTTTTAAGTAAATTTGAAGGCATTTTTTCTCTCCTGTATATTATCAACAAGATATTATGTATATTGTATATTTATTCTTGATTAAGTGTCCAAACAATGTAAATCTGATAAAGTAAAAAAAAAAAGTGTTACTACGTAACTTGGTAACTCACTAAATGCATGAAGTCTAGAGAATTGAGGGGAATTAGTCTGTAGTTTATTCCAGACTGCAGGAACTCCTAACCTGGAATGCATTTACCACTTTTGTTTCCTGGTTTAGTCAAGTCAAATGAAATTGTAAGTTCTGTGTCCTATAAGCGTGTCAAAGGATTACAGTGTGTTCCCCTTTGTTGAGAAGGGATGCTAGATTCTGTAGTTACTTTTGACTTTTAAAAGCTTGAAATTAGTTGACTTACACTTAACCCTTGCTGAACTTTGACTCTGCAGAAACAATGGTGAGTCCTTGTTAACTGACATCCACTAGAGTTAACAATTAGCATCATTTGATGCATACATTTTGTGGGCCATTAAATTTAATGGCGTTATTAAAATTGACATGTCTATGTTTTAATATAGTTTCCATAATTAATACTTCAGTCATGAAAAATTGGAAGCAAATTAACTTGTGGCATACACACCCTCTATACCATACAGAAGTTTTTGTCCCTTCTTGCTGTTTTTTCCCAAGTGTACTTAAAAACATGTACTTGTGTGTATCTATACATAGGTACGTTCATAAGCACGTGCACACGCACGGGCACGTATAGCTTGAAGTTTCTTTCAATATAAATGGGGTCCTATAGCTTGCTTTTTCATCCAGCAGAATGTCTTTGAGATCTTTCCATGTTACTGTTTTTTGTATCTGCCTCATCTTTTTTTTTTTTTTAAAGGATATGTATGTGGTTAAATAAATATAGCATAAAACTTATCATTTTAACCATTTTAAAGTGTACAATTCGGTGGCATTTAGTACATTCACAGTGTTGTGCAGCCATCACCACTATCTAGTCCCAGAACATTTTCATCACCCCAAAAGGAAACCTAGACTCATGAAAAGCAGTCACTCTGCCTTCTCCCCTGCCCCCAGTCTCTGGTAAGCACTATTCTGCTTTCTGTCCCTGGGTATTTGCCTATTCAGAATATTTCATACCAGCGGAGTCATACAGTATGTGCCCGTTTATGTCTGGCTTCTTTCACTTAGCATAATGTCTTCAGGGTTCGTCCATGTTGTAACGTGTTAGAATTGCATTCGTTTTCATAGCTGAATGATATTCCATTGTATGGATACACCACATTATGTTTATCTGTTATTCAGTTGATGGTCATTTGGGTGATTTCCATCTTTTGGCTATTGTGAGTAGTACTGCTGTGAACACTTGTGTACAGGTTAAAAAGAACAAGGTCTGAAAAGACAGCCCACCGAATGGGAGAAAATATTTGTAAACCATGTATCTGATAAGGGTCTAGTATCCAGAATATATAAAGAACACTTACAACTCAACAACAAAAAGACTAACAACACAGTTTGAGAATGGGCAAAGGACCTAAATAGACATTTCTCCAAAGATATACAAATGGCCAATAAGCACATGAAAAGATGAAAACTTTATGTGGACATACATTTTTATTTCTCTTGGACACATACTTGGAGGTGGAATTGCTGGGTTAAATGGTTACTCTCTGGATAGCTTTCTCAGGAACTGCCAAACTTTCCCACAGAGTCTGCACCATTTTACATTCCCACCAGCAATGCACAAGGGTTCCAGTTTCTCTACATCCTTGCCGATACTGGTTATTTTCCCCTTTGTCTTGTTTTGTTTCTTAGTTATAGCCATCTTAGTGGATGTGAAGTTGTACCTCATTGTGGTTTTGATTTGCATTTTTCTAATGAGTAAAGATTTTGAGCATCTTTTCATGTGCTTATTGGTCATTTGTATATCTTTGGAGAAATGTCTGTTTAGGTCCTTTGCCCATTCTCAAACTGTGTTGTTAGTCTTTTTGTTGTTGAGTTCTAAATGTTCTTTATATATTCTGGATAGTAGACCCTTATCAGATACATGGTTTACAAATATTTTCTCCCATTCGGTGGGCTGTCTTTTCAGACCTCATTCTTTTTAATGGTGAAGACTCTTCCCTGGTGTTGAGCCTTATGTTTAGCTCTCTCTGTTGATAGACAGTTTTCCCCTCTGCTCTTAAAGGTGCACATAGTTGTTTGACTTATGAGAATAAACTTTTTAAATTAATTTTTTCATCCAGCTTGGTGCTAAGAAAGTGCAGACATGCCTCAACGCCCTAGATCTATTTCTGTCTGCTTGTGTGCTCGTCCCCTGCCCTTTTAGACAGTAGGCATGCCCGTTGGTCGCATGTTGTGCTTATGCACTGGAACTTTCTTCTTGCTGTTAGTATTTAATATAGGATTTTTCTAACTAGGTTAAATATTTATAATAAAATAACACCACAGATTGATAGTTTAGAGCGCAGAATGAAAGGAGGACAAAATTTCTATATTTACAACTGTTTCCTGTCTCTGGCCACCTGGTGCTTTTTGGTAGGACTAAAGATAGCTAATTTGTCAAGGCAGGCTCTGAAGGTGGCCAGTTAGCAGCCATGCCGATTGTTTAAACATTTCCTTTTACAGAAAAAAAGTAACAAAATTATTTTTGGTATTATGAAGATAATACTGTGGTTGATGAGGTGCTGTGCCACCTAGGTGCCTAATAAAAGAAAGACGTGCAGACTAGCATTTGGACCATGAAATTACATGTGGGAATTATTTATGTGAAAGTAGGCTTTTTTCTTTTCTTTTTTTGGTCCAGAAATACTCATTCCTTTGAAATAGTTTTACATGTTTTTGTTTCCTTTCTTTTCTTTCATGACACTCCCCTTGTGAAGAAAGTCAGACATCCTTCCTGCTTTGGAGATGGGCGAATGAGGGTAGCCGAGAGGGAGATGGTGGGTGCTCAGGATTAAGGACACAGGGTTGGAATCAGGCTCAACCCTGCAGCACCTGCCAGTGATGTGACCTCTTTAAGCCTCGGTTTTCTGTCTATAGTCAAAGTAGATAATAGTGATAACACCTAGTTCCAGGGGGTAGGAGGTGGTGGGGGTTAGGTGAGACGGCGCTTGGGAAGTGCTCAGTGAAGTGTCTGGCTCGGAGGGAGCCCTCAGCCAGTGGGAGCCCCAGGACCCAGCTGAGGAGCAGGAGCCCCATCTTTAGGTCTTTGATGTTCTTATCACCAAACCAAAGTATTTACTTTGTCCTGTTTATAAAACACCCTCACTTTATGTTAAAAGAGAACCAGTCACATGGTGGCGAAATACTTCATGTCAGCATATTCTGTTGTGGTTATATTGGCATAAAAGTGATTGATTTCATTGACCCCCTCCTCTCCATTTAGAGTTTTCCAGTTGATGATTGCTTCAAAAAAGTTGAAGACCATTTCTTAGAATCAGGGAAATTTGGGTAGTTTTAAATGGTCATGTAAGGTTTAGCAGCTTAGGGAAAAATTAGATGTCTATTGCTCTTTCAGTAACCACTGGAAAATAAACTCGTTCAGGCATGCAAAGAAGTGTGGAGAAAATGTTACAAACACTGTGAGTCTCCCTCCAGGTTGAGAAATAAGAGATTGAAAATACAGTTGAAGTCTACTGTGTCACTGTCAGTTCTCCATTTCACTGGCGGCCCCCTAGAAATAACGTTGCCTCAAACTTGGTGTTTATCATTTAAAATTGTGCTGTTTTAACAATGTCTTATTTTTTCCCACAGCTATCTGCATCATACTGGTGCATTTACTGATCCGATACAGATTACATTTCTTGCCAGAGAGCGTTGCTGTGGTTTCTTTAGGTAAGTGCTTATTGGTGATCCTAAAATAAAAGCAGTAACGATAATTACCGTTTTTGGAGTGTCTCCCTAGTGCTAGGAATCACGAGATGCAGTACGTACCTGATCTCATTGCATCCTCACTGCAGCCCGCCCTGAGGGTGTTATGATCCCCTTTAACAGATGAGGACACTGTGGCTCAGAGCAGGGTGATGACCTCCTAAAGGTCACGTAGAAGCCCCTCTGTGCAACTCGAAGTCCTTTTCTGTTTCTCCCAGAACCGCCCTCGGGGTGCGTTGACCTCTGCTACTAGTCTCGGCCTGCACCAGCTCAACTGAGGCGAGTATTGACCCTTAATTCTTAGAGCCACTGAACTTTACAGCCAGAAGGGGTTCTCACTTTACAGTTTAAGAAGGAGAAATGGCTCACCTTAATGTCAGAGTCAGATCTGAAGTCTTCAGAGAGCATTCTGTTCTCTCACATTTCTCTTGTTTCCTATGGCAATTAACCGTTAAGGTAATTAGCCTGTATTTAGAGAGAGTGAATTGCTGTAGTAACAGGTGTGAGTTCACATGCAGGTTCACTGAAGTGGTTCGTGAAGGAAGAAGCAGGAACCTTACTTTTCGGTAATTATTAAAATCAAGACTCAAGTGTGGGTGGGGGTGCTTAAGGCATAGTAAATACAGTTTTACTAAGGTCAGCTAAAGCCTTCATCAGTTTCTTATATTGTAATTAGTTTTACTAGTTTCCACTTGCCTACTGATGATATTTAATTTTTTCTCATCACCACTGATACTTTGTAAGTTAATTTTCTTTACCTTATAGATCTTGTTTAATATGCTTACAAGTTCTTTCACAGTATGGTGGTGGTTGAGGTTAGCTTTGGAAATGAGCATTCTTCCCTAGCCCCGACTGCATTCCTGCTGCCCTGCTTCCGTCCCCCCTCTATTCTACCTGCACTTCACAGCACTGCTCAGCTCCAGCTTCCTGCCTCTGAGCGTTCACGTTGCCATCTCATTTGAGCCTCATAAGCCCCGGGTGATGCCATGTTTTAAGGAAGAGGCAACACTGGATAGTATTGATCTTCAATCAAGAGTTGGAAACCAGTTTTACTCAAAGCGTTCCTGTTTTCTATTTAGCGGGCTCTTCATCAGCACATCCTGGTGGATAGATTCTAACAACCTCAGCTAATGAGATAGCCTTGGAGCTCTAAGAATGGGAGAATCATTCATTAACATTCCTTTTCTGCTATTAGGCATGTTGAAAATAACATAATATCTGATACCTATTATTCTGGGGCATTCAGTAAAGACTTAAAAAAACCACTCCAAGGAATTTACAGTTTTGCGGTCAGTTTTCTTAATTTCTTAAGAATAAGAACTATAACTGGTGTGTATTTAAGTATTGCACACATGGGCCAGCCTGGTGGCACAGTGGTTATGTGCACACGTTCTGCTTTGGCGGCCCAGGGTTGGCCAGTTTGGATCCTGGGTGCAGACGTGGCACCGCTCGTCAAGCCATGCTGTGGTAGACGTCCCACGTATAAAGTAGAGGAAGATGGGCACGGATGTTAGCTCAGGGCCAGTCTTCCTCAGGAAAAAAAAAAAAGAGGAGGACTGGCAGATGTTAGCTCAGGGCTAATCTTCCTTGGGGGAAAAAAGTATTGCACACAGAAATTGAAATGATTGTTCTCATAACTTGGTCTTCACTGTCTCTTGAATGTTTGAGTAACTGCAGGTCAGTGAGCAATAGGCTTGTATTAGGACTTGTAGCAGACATTGTTGATTGCCTACCAAGGGCCATTTCCCCCTTCTTCCTTGAAAATAGAACCCTAATTTTGATCAGTTGTCTTGCCACAGTGTTCTCAAGAAAGATGGGACCTTCCGAGTCAAGACTGGTCTTTGTCGTCATGATAGTTCCACTCTTCTTTGCCAATGGTTGGTTGAGAGAGGTGGGGCAGCAAGGCAGAGTGAAGCCAGTTCTGGCCAGTGAGGCCAAGGGGAGGTGTCCTGGGGTGGTGAGTTTTGGAAAATATTTTCCTCTATGATAAGAAGAGAAATTTCCCCTTCCTTCATGCTGTTAGTTGAGGATGTGATGCCTGGAGCACTGGTAGCTATCTTGCAATCACTGTGGCTCCAAGACAAAAGCCAGAATGCTAAGGATCGCCGCAGGGACCTGTGCGAAGCCTGGATTCTTGACTGCGTGGTTGTTTTGTCGATTGACAGTACTGGAGCTCCCTGTCTCAGAGCTGCCTGCTGTATGAGATCATAAACATCTACTGTTTAAGCCGTTTTTAGTCAGGGGTTCTTTTACGTGTAACTAAAGACATCTTAACTGATACAGGACTCTTCATTCAAGGGACAAAATCAGTTCGAATTGATTCAAAGAAAACAGATTGGTGGGGGTGGAGTTGCACACCCGTTGGCTCATGGAACTGAAGAAGCTCCAGCTGGTGCTTGCTTCAGACTGAAGCGAGTCTCCCGACTCAGTTTTGCTCCATTTCTCAACAGTGCTTCCCTTTGTTTTGGCTTCCCGCAGGCAGGCTCTCTCCACGTGGCAAGCCTTTACAGCTTCAGGCTCACTGTCCTTACAGTAGCAAGCACAGTGGGAAAGGTGGCCTCCTCTTCTCCCTGGTTCCGCCAGAAGTTGTGGGATGAACTCTGACCACGTGGCCACCCCAGAACTGGGCATGGGGTGGAGTGATGCTGAGGGTCAGCTAAGGTTCTCCATCCGTGAGGTTCAGTTCTTCATTGATGTTGCAGAAAAACTGTAGCCTGTACAGCTGGGTCTTGGGAGGGGTGATGGAAGGTCTTGCTTTCCACACTTACTTGCTAACTCAGGTGATTGCAATGCTAAGAGCACTTCCAGAGAGAGTGCTGGGCCCCCGAAAGTATTAGATTAGAAGACATTTGGTTAGAATTTAGAAATGCTGACAAAGCTATCAAAATAGTTCTATATTTCATAAAGCTATGTAAATTAAGGAAAAATTTTTCTCCTATTGGAGCAAAGTGTAACAAAATACTGAGATATCTACCATTTCAAGAATTTCCAACTTTTGTGCCAAAAAAGAATCTAAATGAAGCTGCCCGAGAAAATGGAGTTTTCATTCTTTTAGGGATAAATTTTCCTAGCCTTCCTCTTCTAGCCAGAAGTTATTTTTTAGTCTTCAGTCATTTAGAGACATTATTAGCATTTTGAGTTGTAGTGAAGCATTCAGAGTTCTTAAGAAATTGTTGATATAGGAAAGGACCATCTGCCCTCAAAAAGCACATTTCCCTTCTATTTTATTGTATTGTCAAATGAATCTCAAGACTTTTTTCATTCTTTTTTTTGAGGAAGATTAGCCCTGATCTAACATCGACTGCCAATCCTCCTCTTTTTTTTTTGCTGAGGAAAATTGGCCCTGAGCTAACATCCGTGCCCATCTTCCTCTACTTTATATGCGGGATGCCTGCCACAGCATGGCTTGACAAGAGGTGCATAGGTCCGCACCTGGCATCTGAATTGGCAAACCCTGGGCCACCAAAGTGGAACATGCAGACTTAACCACTGTGCCAGCAAGCCGGCCCTTTTTCGTTCTTTATAAGGGTGTAGTATCAACATGAAGCTCTAAAGATAGTTCCTTGGCCCTTGCTCATAGCTTTCAGATACTTTCTATGCTTATGGAATTCTGTAGTTTGTAGCCTTTTTTAAAAAAATAATTTTTTTGCACAGATATATGGAAAAAGAAAAATCCTTTTCATTGACATCTTCAGCTATTTTTAACATGGTTCATTCTCTTCCAAACCATGTGTAGACATACACATATCAATTAAATGACTTTACTTGGTTTGAGTTTATATCATTTTTTGTGTTCTTTCCTTTTTACTCTTCTTTCTCTGCATAGTTAAGTTCACATATTTGTTTTTATTAGCCTTATAGTGCTGATTCACTCTTTATAGATTTTGGGCTGAAATTTGTAAGGAATGAAAATGAAGTAATTGTACTGCCCACTCTCCTCTGTTGTATATAGCAAAAACAAGAGGTTTTTTCCACAGTTGTACTTTATCTTAGAGCGAGGAAAGGCCAGAATGGGGTTTTAAGTAAGGGCTGGAAATTTGATTTTCAAATGCCAAGGTTTAGCCTGAATATTGCTGATGGTTAGAAAAATGATGTTTTGACTTTTAACTAGATTCGATTGAATCATTGAATAAATAGGACACACAAAAGTGCTCCCGTGTCGTAGCCTTCCTAACTATGTTTGTGCTTTTAGCTGTTAATTCCTTCTTGTATTGACTAAAGGATTTTAATTTTTTTAAGATTAGTGCTCTTTTTGTCGATGGGAGTTTTGAGTGGAAGATGAAAAATCACTCAGTTCCTGAGTTGTTGACTAAAGATAATTCTAGAAGAAGCAGATCCAGCAATTATATTCTAATTGTACTTAAGTTCTAAAAAAATTTTTTAAAGAAAACTTAAAGGGAGAATCCTAACTGTGACTGTGATCGTTTTCATTGCTTTGTAGACTATTAGCATCCACTGCCGACACAGCTTAAGATGTCCCATGGCTAACCCTCGCCCTGGATCTTAGGTGCTTTGATTTCTGTTAGAGAAGAAATAGGTGTTCATCTGTTGGTATTAGAGTAGCTGTCTTAGAGGCAGAGGCCAAAATGGGTTATCAGATTGACAAAATGATCACCTCAGACTCTACGGATTTTCCAGGCTGTCGCGTTCCAAGGAAGAGTGCCCGCACAGACTCTTAGCCTCCGTGTGTCTGGAAACAGATCAGAGGTGACAGTTTATTCCAGGAACGTCTTGTTACTGTTTCGCTGCTATTAACTAAATATGTGCTCTGTGTGTGACAGTTTCCTGCTCTGCCCGGGGGCTTGCTTTGGCTTTTCTGGTATTGTGATCATCTTCTCTCGGCTTAGCATTTTATCATCTTTAGTTTGTATTTTATACTTTAATCTTCCAGCTATGCCAGAATAGTCAGGTAGTCAATTTTAAAAGAATGGTTGTTAAAAAATTACATTCTGAAACTTCCTGTA